ATCCTAATCCAAATTTTGAAGTGAATCATATCATTTTTTGTCCTAATTTTTTCAAAATTTACATTAAAATCCAGTTTCGACAACTATTTTTCTTATCGCTCTGCAAGCGCCTCACTGGCACCAGCAACTTCTTCCCGGCGATAGTTACAGAGCGTTTGTTTCGTTTTAACAACAAAATCTTTCGACACATCTTGTTGTTTGTCTTTGTTTGCCAAATGAGAAAATTACCTCAGTATCGTTGTTTCGACTAGCTCCTGTCAGCTGCACCGCAAACGATACGTGTTTCTAAGCAGTACGTTATCTGACTTCGAATACGTTCTTGTTCCTGATTTATTCAGTTTGACAAAGATTTAGTGCTCTTCTAGCATTAAACAGTTCTAGAAGGAAGAAACTATCGACAGTCCTTTCAGCATGTAATCGCTATTTCTAAAAATTCATGTGAATTGAATTGTTGTTCTGATCGCGAGTTAAATTATTATTTTAGATATTCTTGCACTGTTTTAGTGGAGCTGAGACAGTTGTTCCATTCCTTCGAACGGTCACATAATAGAAACTTGTTAGCAATGAAAAAGGAGCTAAAAATATTGCAGCCTCGTTCTCTTTAAGCATTTGTAAGACCAAAATATCTAATCAGTTCTCTCGATTTTTCACCATTAAAGGATTTGTGAATAAAAGGCAGCGAAGGCCAAGGACCGCACAATTTGTGTGTTGCTTGGTTTTACAGCGAACGGAAAAAGGCTGAATGTGATCACTTTTTATGTGTTTTGTGCTGTGTAAAAGTTGCGAAAAATGCATTTTGTCACTTTTATCTCTATGTATATGATTTCATATATGTGGGATGTATGTGTGTGAATTTTTGTGTGTCCGAGTGCGTTTTTTTCCGGGCTTTCCACTGAAAAGCCAGGAAAGCTAGGAAGCTGAAATTTTAGAAGGATGTTCCATGTCCAAACGCAGTCTCGCAAATTTAAACTACCTTTCAAATATTCTTAGAATTCGCACACGGATATGAAAGTTTTGACGCTGTAATCGCTAAATGAGGAACTAGAAGAGTTCGGAGGTTGGAATTGTAGGATAATATTTTACGTCTCGTCTAATTCAAATATTTCAAATTCAAATTTCACTCACGCCTAAGTTTCATGTACAGACAAGTGAAAGTGCGAACGCGCAGCATAAGAACCTAACAACATATCGACTATTTTTGCGTACGAGAAAGTGCAAAGCAGTTGTACAGAGATACGCAAAACGTGAGATCATATTAGCTCCCGTGATGCGCGCCTCTATTTATTTTAGTTTGTTTCCATTGCTTGCAGGTTTTTGCTCATAACTTATTTTTTTTTTTTTAAATCCCAGAGGATTTTCAGCACACTCGTGCTGTGGATTCAGAAAGTGATGCTAACCGGGAGATCATGACAAAAAATGCAGGGAATGAGAATGAAGAACTGGTTGTCGATGACTGCAAAAATCAATATGAGGTGCAGACTTCGATAAAGCTGCAAAAAAAATTAATGTAATGCGATGTAGAACTAAGGAGAAAGAGGAAGGCATTTTTTATGGTATTTTGCTGTTATCCATAATTCATTCTGCAAAACAGCTTAGGATGTAATGTGGAGATGGCGATGGGATTTTAAAATTATTGGCTTTATAAACTGTTTAGATCACTTACCTTTGAAAACTACAGTAGCTGTTCTTAATTCTACACAAAGGAGTCAAAGATACTCGCCTCATGCTTGCGCCAAGGCTGAAACTGCTAACTACATGTTTAGTCGAAATTTTTCGTCGTATAATTATGACATCCGTCTAAAAATTCAGGATGTATCACTCCAAGCTAACTTGTTGCTGTATGGCGAGCAACTAGCAGCAAAAGACGCTGAACTGCGACGATTAGAAGAGCAGATAGACATCGCTCATAGATGTGTAAGGTCTTTCACAGAATATTTTATGCGTTTTTGCAAATATGCAAATTGCAAAAACGCATATTGGAAAGAGGCTGTGTGTGTGTTTGTGTGTATGTCTGTGTATTCGCACTTTTTGTCACCCAATTCCAGCTCGAGAACCGGAAAAGTTAGAAGGCTGAAACTTTGGGAGTATGTGCCCATACCATGTGCGACTCTCCCGTTTTAATTTCATCCCCCGCGTACTCCTGGGTGCCGCGTGCGGACGCTTTAAA